TTGTTGTCCACCCACCAACAAATCTTTGCAAAGCCCAAGGTTTTCTGGACAATTAACTTCCATATGTTGTAGTATTTGAAGCTCAACAAGAGCTTTACAACACCTAAGAAGGGATAATCTACTACGTGTAATATAGTAGAAGTTGCCTAAAGACTGCCTTCTTCAAAGAAATCAGCACAAGGGCACTTGCTGACCACTTTGTGATAACAGAGAAAAAGATAAAGGCACCAGAGAAATAAAGCAATACTGTTGTGTAATATTATTCCCAGTTTTTAAGCGCAAAAAGTCCACACACTATGTTATTACTAGCAATACTGTTGTTAAGTATTATTCCCAATTTGACTTATAGTCTTTAACACACGTGAATAAATTCCTCCTTGCTTTGAAGGGGCGGATTTAAGTGATCTTAGTACAAATATAGTAAATAAATGATGATTTATAACACTACAACAAAGGTATAAGATGCAGAAAGGGGAACAACAATCCCAAAATCATCAAAGAGTATTTATATCCACATGTAACAACCTCTACAACAGTCAACAGCCTCAAAAACCAGTCAAATCCGCCTAGAGAACCCTAAAAACCATGTAATGATGCAATGTAATGATCTTGTTACTAATGTAAGATGTATCCTTGTAAACTAGCTGCAAACCAATTTTTGAGATTACAAATTTTTTCAGAAGTGGTCCAATTTTGGTCTACTATAGTGCATCTTGTAGCCCTTGTGATACTGATCATTTATGACACCCATATGACCTATTTCTGATGAGTGATGAGTAAGATATTGAGTTGTGAAGTTAAGGTTTTTGGTGTTACATGTTGACTTGTGACTGTAAATTTGAGATTCACACTAATTTCTTACTTGCCTTATAACTTGTTACATACACCTCCGTTACTAATGATTTAATGTTTGTACATTATGTAATCCACTCTTTTGCGTTGAATGAGCTATCTACCAACTTAATCTGACAACATTTGACATATGTAATTAGCTGAAAACCTTCATTTTCCACAAAATTCACCCATTTTCTTCACTTTTCACAGCTACTACTCTCTTTTTCTTGCTCATGTAATATGACATCATCTTCTATAACCTTAAAAATCCCGGAAAATCCTCTTGGCAACCTTAATTTCCACTACTACCACCATTACATATGTAAACTACACGCATAACCCTTGTTTACCAACTTCGAAAAAGCACATTTCTGCTAATAACTTCTGTTTTCCCTTATCAACCTTGAAGATTCAAATTGTTACTGTATAATAAAATGTTGTTCTTTCATATTCTAACCTTATAAAACCCATAACTTAATTATAAATAACCTAAAAACCATTGTCCAACTTTTACACCTATATTTTCGAATTTTTCTTATCTTTTCTTTTTCTGTCTTTTTGTAATAACTTTGTAAGTAAACTATGTTGATCTTAAGAATAATTTTGACATGAGATGACATAATATTGAGCTAATAAGTATACATAAGCCTCTAAGAGCTTTAATTGATCTGAAAACCTGAATTTTGAATTTCCTGCTACACTGAAGTTTTCTAATAACTTGGTAAAGTAAAGATGATTAATTTTCTTGCTTGTTATCATAAATAGACCACCACACTGATTCATCAATGACCGAGGAAGAGTATCAAAAGGGCTTCACAGCAATGGATGCCAAAGAGCGACAACATTGGATAGACGACATCAGAAACGGGAAGTTTAAGATCCTCAAATTTACTTGTACTGAAGCTTGTGGTGGTGGTGGTGAGACTTCTACTGAAGCTTCTGGTGGTGGTGGTGAGACTTCTACCGAAGCAGGTGGTGGTAATGGTGGTGGTGAGACTTCCATTTAAGCAAACCGCGCTGGGATGAAGGTTAGTCATCTCTCAAAATCAGCTACTTATAAGATCAAATTGGCTGACTAGTCAGTCTTGCACTCAGTTTCATAGGGGAATACTCGGTGTCATAAGGAGAGTAGGGATTTTATTTATATCCTTCAATGTGTATCTCTCTCTTATTTTGGGCAAACTTTTGTATTCCATGACAAAACCGTGACAAAACCAAACTTCAATTGAATGATCGGAAGCGTGTTGTGTTTATCAAGTGACAAGAGCTAGCGTTGAGCAACTCGTCTGATTTTTAATTTTCCTTTCTTGGCTTGTTTTGTGATGTTTTCTCACATCAATGCGCAATTCAGTTTTTTGGTTATTGGTGTGATTCAGTTTTTGTTCATGTTTCATTCCACATGCCACGGAGTTCATTTTAGTTATTTTCCCATTCAAAAACAGTATTGATCTAAATACATACATATGACAGCAATAGAAATAGCCTACGACAAGTACAAATCAGAAACAACATCAATCAAGACAATGCAATACAAGTCATTGATTGACTTGACTTCATCTTTGAGACTTTGAAATGGCTTATATGAAGATGAGATAATACAATCAGTACAGGTCATTTTGCAAACTCATGTTGTTATAAATAATGAAACGTTGAAATTGAATTGGCCAATTGTTTCTACCTGACTCTCAAATCTCAAGAGTCAAGACTAGATGTTCAAATTTTGCTGGCTTTGAAGGGTGTCAATCGATGATTGACAGGTCACTTGCACCAATTTGAGGACAATGGATACCTTCCAATGATTTCTCTTGACTCGAGAACACAACTGACCTTTGAGAAACTCATCAATCATGATAGGGTGATGGTGGAGTAGCAGTACACGTTGTTCTTTTGCTTGCAACTTTGTATTCGCTTGTGTTCAATCGTGCTGTATACACTTTTCATGGTGACAAACCAATGAAAGAATTGAAGGTTGGTAGAAGTGTCACAGAGTGAGTGTTTCAGTTGGAAGGAGTCCAGTCTGGTAAGAGTGACGGTCAGTATAATGGGGCATGCAGACCGATCTGATGTTGGATTTTGTTTTTGACAGACCGGTCTGGTGTTGAGGAGTGTTGGTGATGTCGGTCTGAGCTGCTAAAGACCTGTCTGGTTGTGATAAGTGCAGTGAGACGGGTCTGAACTACTACAGACCAGTCTGGTGATGACGAGGCGGAGTGAGACCGGTCTGTGAGTGTACAGACCGGTCTGTGATGAGAACTCAGAGAGGGAAGTGGTGGTGAGACCGGTCTGCGAGTCGACAGACTGGTCTGTGGTGAGGACTCTGAGAGGGAAGTCGTGGTGAGACCGGTCTGGTTGGCCTATCGCTGCCTTGTGCGGATTTTTAGGGGAGGCAGACGTGTCTGAGATTAACTTGATGCAGTGTAAAAGACCGATTCCAGACGTCTGGGCGTTCTGTCTACTAATTTTCGGTACGGTGCCATATGATTCTTTACAGACTGCACGGTATTTTGTTGTGACATCTGTAGGGCACAGGTGACTTCTTGCCTGTCCTGGAAACTTCTCTCAAGATCTTGGATCTAATGGAGAAAAAAAATCACAGGATGAACATGTGTATATATACATTGACAATCAAGGAGTGGATAGACATACTTGTTGCTCGACTGAGGTAGGTTTTATGTTTGGAAATCCGTTTTCACTAAGGTACTTGGAAACGTCCTCGGCGATCTTTGCCTTCTTAATTGTTCCGCCTTTGCCTCTCCACCAGTCAAGACAAAAACTGTCACCATCCGGAGTCGTGAGCCATTCAACTAGGATCCACAACGCAGTCTTGCCATCCTTATTGAGGTCTGTGCGCCACTGGGTTTGAGGACGGGCAGGGGAAGATGGCTGGTTGGTCTTGGGCTTGGGCTTGGAGTCATGTTTTTTTTGTTTTTTTTTCTTGGGATTTTGATTGGATTGAGTTTCTTGTGTAAGTTGCGTTTCTTGAGGTGCTTGAAAAGATAAAGTCTGAATCAATGGTTGGTAGGATGTGGGAGTCATTGTTCCCCAAGTATGCGGGTTAGGGATTGCTGAGATGTGAGGCTGGAGAACTGGCGAGATGTGTGAGTTGATAGTTGGTGAGACAAATGTGTAATGATACTGAGGAATTGGTTGATTGTCCCGCAATTGACGAGTTGGATGGAGTGCGAGAAAGGTGGGAATATGAAGGGGGTATATCCACCGGTATATCTGCCATTTAAATTGAGTGATGTCAGGTGGAGAAGGCCTGCCTGTGTGCAGTTGATACATACATCCCGGTGGGGTAAAGTTTTCAAATTCAAATTTGGGTTGATAATCTCCAAATTTGAATTTGGGGTGTCCCAGAAGTTTCTGGATGTCACTTCTTGACACTTCTGAGGCACGTTTCTGGAGTTTTGAATACCCCTATTGTTTGGTGGTGATGAATACAATGGTGTGGTGTTGATTGAGTCAATGCCAAGTGACGGGAGATATGAGAAGGATCTGTCGTTCATGGAGGGCACAGACTCTTCTGGGTCCCAGAAGATTCCAGATGCCCAGAAACACTTTGGAGGTGTCCCAGAAGTTTCTGGATGTCACTTCTTGACACTTCTGGGACACGTTTCTGGAGTTTTGAGTACCCCTATTGCAAAAGTCTTGTTTTGACTGTACGTCAAAATCATATGTTTCTGACGCGCAGCAAATCTGGTCACCGTAAGCCTTGTTAGCCCCAGCTTTCAGCCCCAAAGGCTTTTTCCATTTATCTCATGAGGCGCTGGATTTTTTGAAAAAATGAGAGTCGGAGGATGTAGAGGGAACAAGTGCGCATGTTCATCGTTTTGCGACTTGAGAGAAAGATAAGTACAAAAAAACACCTTCACATTTAGGGGATACAAAGTCAAAACTGGGAGTTTTTCCCAGTTTCCAAGTTTCCCAAATACCGCCAAAAACGCAAACTGGGAAGCTGGGAGAGGGTTAGGGTTAGGGGTTAGGGTTAGGGTTAGCCAAAAAACAAAAACTGGGAAACTGGGAAAAAAATACCAGTTGTAACTTTGTATCCCCTACACCACCGGATGGTTCTGTGTCAGAAAATGGTCCCCCCGGGGCTCAGAATGGTCGGGTCAGTAGCTGGCCTATGGACTGACCCATACACAGCCCATAAGAGTCTGAGAATGGTCAGGTCTGTAGATGGCCCATGGCCCGATTTACATATGGGCGGCGAGTGGCCAGTAGGCAGTCTCCAAGGAGGCCACACTTTTAAACCCGACTGCCGATCCTTGGGCGGTCTACAGCCGCCGGCAGACCATTTGAGTGTACCACAAGTTCCAATGAAGACTTCACACAGTCTTGCTTCACGAAGACAACCCCACCATGTCAAACTCAACACCTCAAATGATAGCACCACCCCGCAACTCACGTAAGTCATCCTCTTTCTTATCCTGACATACCCAGCCTGAACCAGATGTTTTACAGACGTCATGTTATTTCCTAATCACCGCGGCGGCCCTCCAAGGTATCAATGCTCAGTATGTCAGACACGCTCAATGAAGAACTACGAGGGACATATCAACTCGCCTGCCCATATGTTAGCCGTCATTGATTTTATGGAACAAGAGGAAGCCGATGAACGTGTTCAAACAGCCACAAACCTTTCAGCAAACCGAGATCAAACTCCCTCTATGGAGGAAGTCCAAGGCGAGACCTACGATGGTCACTTCTCCTCCCCTCCAATGCAACCTCTGTCACCACTTACACTACTTAGGAACCTGGAAGATGACCCTTTACACTTGCTGCAGTCCCTCTCAGATGATTCAGAAGACTCAATGACCTTCGATACACTGCGTCAGGCATTGGACGAAGTTGAAAACATCCAAGAAACGGAAGAAGGAGATGACGACAAAGAGATTCAGCAAGCTTTGGAAGAAGAGTTGAGGAGTGGAAAAATTCAAGATGCTATTGATTGGTTCCCGTTTAAAAAATTGGAGGTGAGGTTGTAAATTAACCTCACTATCTATCTCCATATGCCTGCTGATGTCCCATTTTGTTTGTTCTCAGCATGTTCTGGCGTTACTCCTGATGGGTTCGGCACGGAGTATCCTTTCACGCGATCAATACCTGCGGTGTCGATTGGTTTTCCGTCTTTGTAAGGTGACACTGCCTGACTGGGGTGTTTTACTAGCTTTAAGCGCTCGCATGAAAGAAAGAGTGGGTATAAAACTTTCTGAACGTATGAGCCCAGAGGGAAAGCCTTTGTTCGGTCAGAAAGTAGAGACAATAATTAGAAACGTGTGTGCACCTTCCATGGTGTTCGTGGTGAATCGTTTGTGGTTGACACTGGAATGTATATAGGAATTGGGCAATCCATTGATTAGTCCTCATATAGTGTTTGTTCCCAAGGTACCCGCCACAAATACCCCGATAAACAGATTTTCCCAGTGTCAGAAATGGCGAGAAGAATACCCCCGTGACCTCCGCGTCCAGATGATTGCAATAAACAACCGGCACTTTTATATCTATGAGCCACTTCAGCTTCACTCTAAGCAATTAGTCATACCTATGTTTTTCTACCAAAAAGATGGTACACTCCTGGCAAAATGCATGGCCGCAACTGTGGAACCGGATCCAGAAGACATAGCATATCTCAAAGTCACGGTTTCAAATGACCCGCCCTTTCACTCGCCTGATCTGTTCACAATCAAATGCGATAATTTTTGGAAAACGTTTGACGAGGTCGAATTATACCCCGGTTACTTACTTAAGACGGATTGTAGAGATCAATTGTATTGTAAGACATCTGAGAAATGTCATGATTTGCGCATCATTTCTTCGCTGATGTCTGATCTCCAACGTATTTAGATCGTAATGCAATGGGGTTGAGGGCTCATCCCATTGAAAATGTTTGGAGAAAAAAATTGCAAGGCAAAGTCATTCAACATGTCCCAATCACTTTGTACTCTGATGACACGTCCGTAAACGTGTCAAAAAAATGGAATAAGCACATGAGTTTATACTTTACCTTGTTGGGTTTAGCTCCAGAGTATACCAACCAAGAATTCAACATACACTTCTTGGCGACTTCAAATTGCGCCTCAGCTCTTGACTTGCTAGACCAAGTCGTTGACGAAGTAAAGTAAGTGTTTACTTTACTTTTGAGGCTGTATATGCCTAACACCTTGTTGATGAATATCCTCCAGTGATCTCGCAGTCAATGGTATGGTCGCCTATGACCACACCCTTGGTGAAGAAGTCTTTGCAATGGTGGTTGTCCTCTGCCACCTTGGGGACCCCTCCATGCATGCCGAAATATCCAACACTTTGAACCCTGCCAACACCCTCACCCCTTGCCGTATGTGTGATCTACAAGTTAAAAAATTGGCGGAAAAAAAGACTCATCAGTATTTGTGAGATTTCATTGGATTGGATGAAAACCACCGCCCAGTATGAGTTTTCATTCCTACTGATGATGTGCCATATTTAACCCCAAAAACCCCCCAAACAGATCCAAAAACCCATTCGCCGGTGGAGTGACACCAAATGGATAACACATGACATCTGGAGTTTGGCTCAACAACAACACACCAAAACTCAGGTGGATAACAAGATACGAGATTGTGGTGTGAAAGACATGGTCAATGAATACTTCATAAAGAAGGTCCAAAGTGCACATGACACTCTTCCCCAAGCAGAGGTAGAAAGTCTATGTGAGCAAATAAATGTTGATGTTGGCGAAAGGATCTTCAACCCAATGCTGAGGCTTAAAGGTGAGAGGTGTTTTACGCCTAGTGTGGCTACTTCTTTGACCTAACCTACTCATTTCCTGACGTGGTAGGATTTGATGGCCATACTGATACTCCGGTCGAGACTCTGCATGTGGTACTTCTGGGGATAACTAAGAACCTGTTTCGAGATCTCATCAATGGGCTTCCCTCGACAAAATTTGGTTCCCCGTGCTACAATGACATATCGGCGAGGTGGCGCTCTTTCAATACTAAGGGTTTGAACATTCCACCAATTATACCAAATACACTGATACAATTCTATCAAAGTCTGGTTGGTAAGGAGTTTCCGACGGTCTTGCAGACCGTGCCTTTTGTATTATTTGATCATATCCCGCCGGAGAAGAGACACGTCTGGACATCGCTCTGCTTGCTAGCCTCGTATGTATTTCAAACGGATATACCCAACATGGATGAATATCTCAAGGAGTTGGATATTATAATCGAGTCCTTTCTGCACCTGCTGATCTCCGTATCAGCACAGTGGGTTAACAAACCCAAGTTTCACATGCTTGTTCACTTGCAACAGTCAATCCGGAGATTTGGACCAGCTTGTCTGTTTGCAACTGAAGAGTTCGAATCCTTCAATGGAGTACTCCGCCAGGCATCAGTCCACTTGAATAGCTTAAGCCCCGGTCGAGATATTGCAAACAACTTCGCAACCAGTGGAATGATGTGTATGTTCATATGTGGATCATCTTTTTTCAACGGCGAGCTGCACTGTCGCGTCCGGCCTGGACCCATGCTGCGGTCACTTTTCGAAATGGTTCCCGACTTGTTTCCTGCAATGTGCCATGAGAAGAACAAAGGGAGGGCCTCTTGCTTCATAATGGGACGTGAGTCCACATCATTCCTATGTCTCTCACTGAACTTAATCAATGTTTCAATTAAACATTGTTTCTTTGTCTTTGAAAGAAAAATGCAAAACCCCAAATCCCCTTCCAGCGGGTTTACCTGATCTCAACCCCGGGAAAACATTAGAATGCTATGCTAATGTGAGGTTGGAAAATGGGCAAAAGCTAGAGGCAAAAGACTTTGTCCATGTGAGATATCCAAAGGTTTCATATGCTTTTGTATTTCAACATTGATATGTTGCCTGACTTTGGGTAGCTCAAAGCGAGTGGAATGATAGCGCAAGTACAATCCATTTGGAAGGCCGAAAACAATGCACCTGGGAAGTCGGTATTGCTGCTCAAGAAGTGCCTTCCGGGCCAAATGATTGTCTTTTATGCAATGAGAGAGATACTGGTATCGGGTGATGTGGTTTTTCTAAGTGTGAAGGTCAGTAAGCTTCTCCTGCAACTCCTTGACTGACCCTCACCTGACCTACTTTGATATCCAAACAGGATGTGGACCAAATCTTGAATGTTCAACACAACTGCCACGAAGGCCACTGTCGGGCGACTCAGATGCACATCCAAAGATTGGAAAGGAAAGAAGCTGTTGAAATGTGCAATCGACTTAAGTAAATACATTACACTGACAAATGACTAGAAGACACGAAAGGAGAAGGAGAATTAATTAAGATAAACCGATGATGAAATAATTACAAAATACTTGCCCCAATTAGTTTGGTAGATCGAATTGGTACTTATACTTGTCCAGTGTGAATTCAAGCGTACTTCTCTTTCCTCATCTTTGGAAAGAGAAGTACGTAAATTTCTATTTTTCTTTCTTTCTGATTATTATTCAAATTAATGTTGTTGTTTTTGATTGTGGTTATGTTTGGATTATGTCTTCAACTGTTATAGACATCCATCTCTTATAGTCCCAAAAGATCAGTTATCAAAACAGAGATAACTTATACTAATCATCTGTACCACTTATAGGTACTCATCTTATAATTCCTTATTAGTAATATTTATTCTTTTCTAACTATTTCTATTGGTTACTTTAGGTCAGAATCATCTTGTTAGTTTTGGTGTTAGGCAGAGGTTCTCATTGTGCTATTGTGCACACTCTTAGGTGAATAAAATCATTATCTTTGGAAAGAGAAACATCCATCTCTTATAGTCCCAAAAGATCAGTTATCGAAACAGAGATAACTTATACTAATCATCTGTACCACTTATAGGTCAGAATCATCTTGTTAGTTTTGGTGTTAGGCAGAGGTTCTCATCGTGCTATTGTGCACACTCTTAGGTCAGAATCATCTTGTTAGTTTTGGTGTTAGGCAGAGGTTCTCATCGTGCTATTGTGCACACTCTTAGGTCAGAACCATCCTACACGAAACACGAAAAGACTTGATTCCAAGCCAACTCAAAATTTCTCAGAAGCTCTGCAAAAGCTTTATTGTATGACTCATACAATAACCAATTCTTACGTGCTCAACTCAGCCTCGCACTATAGTGGGGCTACCCATCGAAAGTTATCGCAATATGTTTATCCTAGGGTGACACCCGATGAGTGGAATCAGGCTATCAGTAAAGGTATCAAGAAATGGGTAGAAGAACCCTTCCGTCCGGCAATTACGAAGCAAACTGCTAATAAGGGGCCTAAAAACAAGGGGAAGCAAGTTGCATCCACCTCAACGACAACTTTCTTTTGACAGTGGTCATACATATATGCTGCAAAAGTTGAAATGTTCAATTTCAACTCATTTTTCTTCTGTGTATGCCTGCTTGCACCAATTCGCGCTGTTTGTGAGCTTAGTATAGAACCACCTATTTGGTGGTTCTATACAAACCAGTTAAATGTTTCAGTCATAGAAAATCACAGAAGGAATTTCATTCACACAATTTCTATAAAATACAATATCTTATTCTTTTCGAGACATCTGCTTTGAGTATCAATAACAAAAGGAAATAGTATCAAAATGAAATAGTATCACAAATAGTGTTGGGGTCCAACACTATTAATATAATATGAGTGATAAGTTTGAGTCATCATCTGCTTGTAGTTCCAACGTGTATATTGTGATATCTTTAGAGTGAGAAATTGGAGGCATCTTCAGGCAGTAAGAAATAAAAACCAAAAAAAAAACGTATATAATTAATATAATATGAGTGATAAGTTTGAGTCATCATCTGCTTGTAGTTCCAACGTGTATATTGCAATATCTTTAGAGTGAAAAATTGGAGTCATCTTCAGGCAGTAAGAAATAAAAACCCAAAAAAACGTATATAATATTTTTATCTTTTCGAGACTTCTTATTGGAGCCTAAATAATAAATGGAAACACTATCACGCCACTTGTTGGGTTCCAAGCAAATATAATATGTTGAGTATTTGTTTCACTCACGTTCAAATATTACGTGAGTCAGGTTAATATTTGAACGAAGGCGGCACAGTCTGCGCGCGTTGTCCACCTAAGCACACAGAGACAGAGGGTGAGGGGTGACATAAGTAAGACATTTAAATGAGCGATATGAGAAGTTAATTGGAGCCTCACGTCAACGTTTAATATCTTGTTTGGCAAGGGTTTTCCTTAAGTGACTGCCGTCCCACGCATGTGGACCACTTTTGTCCACAGTCGGAGTTCCCTCTGAGGTTAAGGTCACAGGGGTCAACTCACCAGCTGCCTCGATGGCCTCCCATAAGGCAACTTCCTTGGCAGACATAGGGTTTGAAACGATAGGAGTCGGAGCATCGTGTTCTGATTCTAAAGGAACAGGCCAATCAGAATGGGCTTCTGGAGAGCTAACATCACTACTTACCTTTGGTCAAGTCAACAACCACTGGGTTGACTTGGGCTGATTCTTGTGTGGTGTAGTATGATGACTCTTCATTACCATTTGAACCATCTTGGGAGAGGATGGGAGTGATGGTTGAGGTGACCTGGCTGGCCGTGGACGCTGTTCACAAAGGTGTCAAAAGCCTTAAGACTATGGAGGTCATCTTTTGAGATAAGGACTTACCAGCTTGCTCCAGTGACTCCAGAAGTTCGATATCTTCGGAAGACAAGTCCATGGGGGCTTCAATTGCTGTGCAAACGTATTCACAGTCAGTCTTCAAGGGATCTCTTCCCTTGCTGATGTGAAGTTGGCTTACCTTGTTCAGCTTCCAGAGCTGCAAGGTCGGCTAGTGACATGCGCAACTTGCCCTTGGAGTAGGACTTCCCATTGATCGAACGGCGCCAATCTTGAAACGGGGGCGGGCAAGGGAACGGATTGGTGCTGATACATGGGCGTCTGTGGCCAAACTCGCCACAGTCAAAGCACTCATCCATTCTGGCACGGATGCATGGGTGGGATCGGTGGTTGATGTCCCATCTCAATATTTCTGATTTCGATCGGCCGTCTAGGGAGTTAAAATATGCAAGTTCTTGGGGTGTGGGGTTCTCCCACCATCTGGGACAAAGAATCATGATGAGAGGAACTGGAAAGTCAACCAGAAGAAATAAAAAATTTGATGGAGATGTGGAAGAAGGAAACACAGAAGGCTACCTACTTAAATAGTCAGCTGAGCCAAGCTTGAGGCGCTCTCCACTTAGTCACCTGTGGAACTCTGGCCTTTTGCCGAGATCGCAAGCTTCATGGCCGTGTTTGTTTGATGATATGATATATCATATATCATAAGATCGGCCTCTTCTTTTGAGGCCGAATGTTGTGACTCTGCATCAATCTGGGTCAACAATCCCCATGGATATCTGTTAACTGGCTGGGAATCTAGCCACATTGCGATAACGAGTATTGACAAACTCGTTGATTATGTCGAGTACGACGCGTCATACTCGAGTGTTGACACGTATATCGGAAGGTTTGTTTGCATACACACAAAGGAAGCACTCTCTTGAGTGCCACCACACGGAGGCTGGTTCGCTCAATAACGAGTATCAATTTCAATAGGTGAATGGGTGAAGTGGACAAATTGATCATCTCTTTTGATATGATCGAAGATCATGGATTTGTGATCAACCATATATTGTGTTGACTATATTACACGGTTAACTCAAAGCTTGATCAAATTAAACCCAAACCAAAAACACGACATCCATTAGAACGTGAATGGGTAGGGTAAACAATCACGTAAGGTGCCATTGGCCACCTCAACCAAGTGCATGATGATGTCAAGTGTTGTGGTTGGAACGCGCTTCGCGCGGCACATCATTTCAGTACAGTGAAGGAGTAAGAGAAAGAGATAAGACAATGTATCTCCCTTTCATTCCCGCTCTCCAAAGACTTGTCAAAAGAGAACGTTGGAAATCAAGTCATCTGCAATAGTTATTACACAAAGGTAAATAAGTACAACTGATGGACGCAAAACGTCAAAAGATAAACATTGCCTGGTTCTTCCAGTAACCAAATGCAGAGAGAAACAAAGGGAAAGAACAACATCGATAGAAAGTGATAGTAGAGATGTGTAACAGACGGAAGCATGAATAGAAATGGATGGTTAGGATGTAACCAAATGAAAGTCATCAAGCCCTTTTTTCTCAGCTAAGCGGACCAACTTTTTGCGCGCTTCTTCAGGATAGCCTGTAAGAAGTTGGCTCCGCACTTTGACCCAATCGTCTTCACTCAAGTCCCCGCGCATGTCATTCACCTCCATGATCCTTTCGACCAATCGTCTGTTGATCTGGCACACACAACCAAAATGTGTGATAGACCCTCTTGAGGGTATGACTTGCGCCAATTTGTCGTTGTAGGTTTTCAAACCCAAGGAGTGGTGTTGGATTTGAGATGACCAAAGCATTTCAACTACGCCATCACAAGCATCATAGTCCACCGAGATATTATAGTCGTCCAAAATGAAACTGGCACCCACAGTGTCACCTTGAAAGACATTGTTTTCAAGTGAGTAGAGTTCACCAGTCTTGCGATTGATTCTGGTGAAGAAACCAAACGCATACTTGCTTTCATCTAAGTCGGTATGTTTGGCATTCACAAATTCATCGAATGTTACCGCTATGTTGGAGGCAAACACTTGCGCATTGGGAGATACGTAAAAAGATTCACCAGCCCAAGAGGGGACCCCGACTCATGACGCTAGTTCAGTGTTTGAATTGAAAGCGTAGGAAGATGAAGCAGCAAATCTTTCGGTGTAAAAGTTTTCGATAGCTGGCAAGTTGCCTTGGCGTTCAAGGTCCTCTTGCATTCGCCATAACTGACCACTCGTGGTGGCGTTGAAAGCGTACACACCTGAGATCGAAGGAATGTTAATGAATGCAAGGCGAAGATCTGGTTCTAAATGGATATTGAGACTTGCCTGCTTTTACGAAGTGATCGTATCCTGGCCTGAAGCCTGCCGTGTGCATCTTGCCATAGAGCTTGGTGAGTGCTCTGACCCTTTTAGCGGCCCCGTTGATCTTGACCACTCCACGAGCCTTTGCATGATGGTAGACTGTTGAGATCACATGGTTGTATTGTTCAAATAGTGCTTTGTTGAGAGGAGTTTGCTCGACGAAACGTGCAACCAAGAGAAGTTGGCTGGTGTCTTCATCAAGGCAGACGACGGTGCCAAAGTGGATGCGAAATGGTTTCGGTTGGCCTTTCTTGAAGAATAAAAACTTGGTGTCGGGAGGGAGTCCATAGAGTTCAGTTAAAGCTGCAATCTTGGTGACCCGATGGTTGGGCGGTGGACGATTCTTGGCCTTACGCTCAGCCTTTTTTTTGTCGGAATGTGCTTTGCGACATCTGAGAGTGCTAGGAGACTTATGCTTTGGTTTCTTTATAACATCTTCCATCATTTTGACGCTGAAAGAATCGCTCAACCTGTAGCTTCTGAGTTATGCGTCAAGATGAGCTCAAGGTCCGAAGCAGGCAGGTTGAGTACAATGCAACAGGTTTAAAATGCAAAAAAAGATAATAGACCTTTTGCAGCTCTTTGCTTATACAAAAAATAGTGGTGTGGGTACAATAATAGGAGTTCAGAAGGATGATAAAATTCTAAGGAGAAGGATATGAGTGTAAAATGGAGTGAGTGTGCTACACATGGGATGAAGATTGGAAATGAAAGGATATAATAAAAGGCGGTTGCCCAAAAGTTTTCCAGCATGGCGGTTTCGAAGCCACCAACCGCGCCATCAGGCCCTGAGCATGGCGTTCAGGTCAGGCCATTTCACCAGCCTGAGCCGAAGGTGTACCTGATTTGGCCAGAACGAGAAAGATGTTTCAAGGCTAACTCAGCCATCGCAATGAAACAACCATCTTTCAATCGCTTAAACACCCCTTCAGGCCATTCAAAACCACCTTCAGATCCTAATCGATCAGATGGAGTGCTCGAATCAATAGCACTGGGCCCCTCCTGAGCTTTCTCCAGAACTCTTTGAAATGCAATTATTGCATTTGTTTATGTAGAAATGAACACAGGCAATCCATCCACCATGTCTCTTGTATTTGTCTATCTTGGCCTTGGAGCTGGGCTGCCTCATCCATACCTGGTGAAAAGCAATCCACGTTCACCAGGTAAAGGGTTGTGGGCTGGCCTGGAAGGAATAAGAAAAGTGAGACTTGCAAGGAAGACACCATCACCTGACGTCACATTGATGGAGAGTCACTGAGTTACTCTTATTCTGACAGCCCCATGAAGTCAATTTCGAAGTTGGATCACACTGAATTCATTCAGAGTGACACTGATTCTGACAGCACCTTGAAGTCACACAAAGAAAAATGTGTCGCAATTCATCAAAGGTCATTTTCCACAGGCTTTATTTTCATTGTGACCACGCCAAGGACTTTAAATCAACTCACTCCTTTTTCCTTGACCCATTTTTCCCGTTTTCCTCATCAGACTCTTCCCCTTATTCTTAACATCGCAGCTCACTTGGTTCAACAACCATGCCCATTGTCCCCAGATCAGTTAGTACGTTACCCGTTTGTCCCTCTTGATACCAGAGGCAAGCTCAGCCATATGTGCTATACAGCGGAACGTACTAGTCCTTACCATCGTCGATCACCACGAGAACACCAATCTCCATCTTTGTCTCTTTTGCTCCGATCCCTGAACAATCATGGGCCGCTTGCAAATGCTTCAGGTGAGCAAGATCCTCATTATCCCACCCATTCTTTTGGTTTTTCTCATTCTCACTCCAATGCAAGGTTCCTTGTTGATGCTTGACTTGGGTTGGCATGGGGCCACAGGCTTGGCCCTTGCTCCAAGAGCCGTTGGACCTGGCTTAGACGAGGGCACCTCTAAAAGCTCCCAAAGCCTGCCCAACATATTGGCAAGGCCATCATCACCTAACGGGTTATTCACCCCAGGTTCCCAGGGTCAGACTCCAGAACCCAATTGTAATGATTCCCAATCGGCTGTCCTTGGCGATGAGCCAGATGATGGTGGCATATCAGACATGACACGTCCTCTGACCATTGCTGAACAAACCTTCTTGCAAGGGTTGTGCACCAAGTATGGTTTCGACGAAATGCATCAGGAATACGTCCAGACTCTAACACAGGTCAGCTTCTTTTATAGACCAGTCTGAGATTCCAAGATGACATTAATCCAAGCAAACTCCAGGTCATGGGTCTTTGTCAACGGCATATTGCCCTTATCAGCTCTCATATGGCTTTGCTCATGGAGCAAAGCAAGCTTTCTAACGTGGTGACCGGCCTTGTGGAAACTGTAGCAGGCCTTGCTGACAGTGTGCAAGGCCTTGAGAACACCGTTTGATGTCTTGCGGAAGACATACGGACGCCCCCCATGAGTTCTGGCTCTGCCAACGCCGCGCCTGCTCATGTTGCGACTCCGGAGTCAGCGGCCAGCACCACCGAGATTGAGGCCACCACGCCATGGAGCGCCTTGTCAATGCTACTGGTGCGCATCACTTTCAAATGTTTTGGAATCAAAAATGACTTCCCATTTTCAATTTGATTTTATTTATCTTTCAAAATCTGGAATATTATCTATCAAGTGCAGCTTCCAGAATGCACTCGCACAAGTTGCAGACAAGAAGGTCACGTTGCCCCTGGTTGAGGGATATACCAAACTCAAAGGGACCAACGGGGTCATCTTGACCAACTCACTGTTCAACATTGTCAAGGTGAAGTCCCTACACATCATATATATATACCATTTTGTTAACCAGGTTCATGAGGACCATTGTAACAGACTGAAATTGGCCGCAAACCTGCGGCCTGGAAGGACAAACACCTGCCACGCAAGGTCCATGGAGTATCCGATTCCCGGGGTGTCAAGCAATACGGTTCTGACATCAAGAATGCATGCAACCACACCCAAGAAAAGATGCATCAGTCGGTGAGTGTTTCTTCAAATACCATCAGGTAATTGAACTCGGCTGAAAGACCCTACCCCAGGTCTTAAGTGGGGTATACGACTCAAAAGCCGCCGTCATCGACACCAAGCCCGTTCCACATCTGAAGGATCTCATGTCCATAGTTAGTATAATTCAAATATATTACTGATTTACTTGGTTGGATCACTTACTCATTCAAGATTACCAGATTGCCCATAAATGTGGAACAACTGGTACCCATGGAGGCGTTGAAGCGTTATGGGAGGCCACTGATCAACCTACCCGTGCGCGGGTAGCTTACCTTGTAAGTCAAAGTTGCCGCCATTTCATTCTATTAACAAGTCCGGCTCAGTTGTGTATCTGCCTCCAATGAAGCACCGAGAGGCACTCCGCATCTTCCAGATCGGGAAGGGATCCAGTTCGATATGGGCGGCTGTTGACACCCAGCTTGAAAAGCTTTGGCGCGAGGAACGCAGTCGCATCACTAATGATGGTTATACTTCTGGAGATTACACTGCCGCGTGTGTCTCTTTTCTCTCTCATCCAAATTGAATTTATCTCTCATCCAGATTGATTTGTGGAGGATACTTTTACTGATTTGACCAAGTGGTTCAGGTTTTACAAGGTTATATATGACCAAGACCTTATTTCAAGACATGATTAAAATGTTCTCCTTTGAATTGCCATCCAAAATGAAAATTGAAGCAGGGATATTACCAACGGCCAACGTCAATACAGTCAAGCTTAATGAAGAACTCATCATGGATACCTGACGCATTTACATCAAATGTTGATGCCAATCATCCTGTGAGCGAAACCAAATATGATTTGTGCAGGGTTGTTGGTTACATACAAACAGTGTACTTCTTATTAAACAAATAGAGTTATTATTGCAATTATATGTCCTTCCATTTCTTTGTGTGGCAAAGCATTACTGAGAATCGAGAGAGAGCGCGTGGGTGCATTAAGAATCAAAAGCGGCGTCTCATGCGGCGCAATGTGCGGCGCATTTTGCAGCGCGCCGCCCATTCAACCATGCCTTATACCGTCTTCAGGTGGCCCAAGGCCGTCTACAGAAAGCTCATGAACCTCGTCTGCAGACCGCTGAGGCTCGCGTCTCTCGTCTGGAGACTGGTCGCAGAGGCGACCGTGGCAATGTGCCTGTGGATGGCCGGGACACACATATTTCTCGCCTGCAGACCGGTTCCAGCCTCGGCAGTGAAGCGGCTCAAAAGGGTCGACCATACGGTCGACCTTTTTTTTTTTTTTTTTTTTGAGTGCTTTTGGCTTATTTGCATATAACACTCTCTAAACTATAATACATAAGAGACTAGTACACCTTAGAAGATTTGGCCATCTAATCAATAACAAGAATGGGTAGTGACAGTAATTTGGAAAAGGTATCTTAATGTCGCCAAGCTTTTGCTTATTACCCTGTGACTTTTAGTTTCTCTTTGTTTTTTAAAAAAATACTTCTTGCGTACTCCTTTTTGGGAAAACTGGCCAAGTGTATGTTTTAACACTACACAAAATGTTATCTTTACCGGGCGGTAAAGAAAACTACTGACATAGAAAAGTCCTGAGGCAACAGGAAGAGAGCTAAAAATCTGAAAAAATATGCACCTTGTTCCTAGATGTTGGGGCGTCATGATGAGTATTTTTTTGTATTTTACACGCAGATATTGGTTTATGTACTAACAATAAACGCTGAAAATCATCAAAAACTCACATGTAACAATACCTGAAATTTGGGTCATGAGTATGAAGACAATATTTTGTGGTCTAAAAACTTCAATAACTTTTGCAATTCTGCTCTAAATAACTCGATTTTTGGTTCATTCAAAGGCTGAACTATTCTCCTTCACACTTCATAATGTTAGTAAGGTGCTATCTAGTCATTTAAACACTCTGCATATGTTCAAACAGTTCTGCATGAATAGCTTTGTAGGATCTTTTGTAGACCAGCTACAGATGTGATGTCTCAATGAAAAATGTAAAGGAAAGGCTCACCTTTCTAATGCACTTTGAATCGAGTGATTTGATTCAGAACTGCAAAAGTTATTGATGTTTGAAGATTCCAAAATCCTGTCTTCAAAATCAAGGGCCAAATTTCAGGTATTGTTACATGTGAGTTTTTGATGATTTTCAGCGTTTATTGTTAGTACATAAACCAATATCTGCGTGCAAAATACAAAAAAATACTCATCATGACGCCCCAACATCTAGGAACAAGGTGCATATTTTTTCAGATTTTTAGCTCTCCTCCTGTTGCCTCAGGACTTTTCTATGTCAGTAGTTTTCTTTACCGCCCGGTAAAGATAACATTTTGTGTAGTGTAAGTGTGTTGTGAAAAGACCTTTAAAAACCTTTAACAATTAATGTCTCGGCAGCTTTTGATCCAGGGCGGTACTTGGAAGCTGCCAAACCCACGGGGGATTGAACATAATTGCAACGTATTGCTAAGTGTTTTAGAGTCCACCAAGACTGGTTTGAAAAATGTCTTGGTAGCCTGTGGATCCAAGACGGTACTTGGAGGCTACCGAACCCTTTTGGGGATTGAACATGATTCCAATATGTAGAGGTAGGTGAGTATAGCCATTAGGCTGTGGTGATTTGAATAATGTCTCGACAACCTATGTGCCCAAGACGGTACTTGGAGGTCGCCGAACCCTCGTGGGGATTGAACAAGATTCTGGTTGAGAAAGTCGTGGGAGCTATTTGTTTTGATTCCTTTTCCATTTTAAGTCACTACCACCTTCTGTTTTGTGGCCGATCTCTTTGGATTTTTGTCTGAATTAAAGGAAATGATGTGAACAAAACAACTTGTCATAAGTATGAAATCCGCTGTAGAACTTAAAGCTCAACAAGAGCTTTATAGAGCTTAAAGAGGGATAATCTACTAATATAACTAACTAGTAGAAGTAGCCTAAGACTGCCTCTTTGAAAGAATCAACACGGGGACCTCTTTAATGCTGACAGTGATAAGGCACCAGAGAAATTTGTCTCAATACTTAATTCAAGTATTAGGATCACACTAAATCTAGCCCGGTGTCCGATATCCGGCGCCTCATATAGGTTCGGACACCGGTCTCTGAGCATATTAACGCCCTTATAAAAGATTGGTAGGGCGCAAAGGGGGGGCTACTCTCCAAACCCTTCTTTTTTTTTCTTTGGATCACTCACGACATACCATATACACACTCCCTAACACTAACACTCTAATGTAATACAAAATGCAATTAAAGACTCGCTACTTGTCTCTCATTCATATTTGCAAAATATCACAGGTAGATGTGTAGATGTGACCATCTTTTGTTTACTCCGACAACTGAATGTGCATGGGCATAATAAACACATTATTCATTGGCATAGGCATAGGGGGCATACATAGCATAGAATTGTAACAATAACAGACAAGAAGGAAAAACAACCATAAGAAAAGCGGAGACACAACACATACAAAAAGCGGTTTTAAAGTAGATCAAAGAAAGTCACGAAGAAAAGAATCAATAGAGAGAGGAATCACAAAGCTAGAGGTAGAAAAAGATTAGAGACAAGAAGGAAAGGACACAACCATAAATAAAAGCGACAAAAGGTTGTTGGTCACAAACAGGTTACCACTACACCCTTGTGGTTGAGCCAAGAATCAATTACTTGAATTTCATTTGGTGAGGCCGTTTTCCCTTTCCTCAAGTTTATTTTTGCCCAATCCCCTTTGATTGATGTTCCAAATTCGACGTGGTGGTTCAAGATCGCGCCGTCTTTCTTATCCACCCTGAACACTTCTCCCAGCCTTAGCATCCCCCAAAACGCTACCAAGCCAATGTCTGCGACCAAGGTTCGTACTTCAGACTTTCCGTGGGATTCTAATAAAAGTTTGTACAGATTTTCAACCTTGACCGGTTTCTTCGATGACTCCAACACTTCTCCTTCCTCTTCTCTACGGGTCGCTCGTAGTAGCATTTTCACAATCTCTGGATCGATCGATATCTTCCGTAAGTGTTTGACGATATGCCATGCATTAATCCCGTCCAAATACTTATCGATTGTTTTTGCTGTTATAGGTTTCTTGGGTGGATTCGGTAGGTCGATCTTTGTTCTACCTGCCCAAGTAATGAAGCCGTATAGGTCTTCATTACGGATGGGTTTGTTCTCATTGAATGTCTTGCCGCCTGACTCGACGAAGGCTATATACTTCAATAGGCCGGAAGAATAGCCTGACAGAGTTGATTTGGCCCAACTACCGACCGCTAGATGTGCGCCTGGGATGGTCAATCTCTTTGCTGCTCGACCAAAGTGTCCAGGCACTTCATATGCTTTCGCTTCGTCGGTCAGTCTTTTCTTTCTTGCTTGTCGAGGCATAGTTTTAATGAGCCGATGAAGTTGGTTCAATTTATTTGTTTAGATCTTGGCTTCTTTTGATTCTCAACTCAGATGGGCTCAAGGACTACTTCGCCCGTCTCACTTCGACTCGCTTCCGCGTCGTACCTTTCTCACTTCGTCAGGAAACACTGGCAACATGAAGCCCTGGCAAATTTACGACCGTTTGGGATCATGTCCCTGTCATGGCACGTTTGGTTAGATAGGCAAAGGGGGTATGTGCTAGTATAAGTTCCATTGCATTGTAGTGTCCTTTCTACTACATTTGTCTCAGGAACCTCTGTAGATCTCGAGGTAAGTTTACCGCCATCTTGTTACCCGCTTCCTTTTTCGAAGTTTTCCCTCTTGACAGAGCATCTGCCGCGTTTTCTGCGGATACCACTCTTTTTGCTGTTATTGAATATTGCTTACTAATCAGCCTTTCTTGTATCTTTTTCCATTCCGCGTTAACTAGGGGATCTTTCGACTTGCCGTTCACCACCGCGTTTTCCGTTACAGTATTGTCTGTTAAGACCAAGTAATTCCTACCTTCTACCACCTCTAACTGTTCGATCATGAGCAAACCTAGGCGTACTGCAACGGTTTCTGCCCATGCGATACCACATTTGTCCCCGTTTTCTTCTCTTGCTTGCCAGTTGTTTTTGAGCTTAAACTGAGACCAGTTTTTTCCTATGATAATCCCTATTCCATAGGAGGTTGAGGCATCCCCTACCCAACCAACATTTCGAACCACTGGCTTTGGGATCACCCTTAATGGGTTAGCGTTTCGTAAGGTTTCTAGCCATATCCTCATGTCTTCTTTAATTTCCTCTGACAGCTCTCTTAAGGCGAATTTATTTCCCCAATTCTTCATCATTCTATAGGTCGCTGCCGTATATACTTTCATTTGTGGAAAAACGAAGGTAATGTGGTTTAACCTTCCCACCATGACTTCCGTACCTTTGAATGACTGTTTCGTCTTGTGTAAGTACTCCTTAATTTGTTCCATTCTTAGCTCAATCTTGTCTTGAGGTAATCTGACCGTTTTATTTTTGCCGTTCCATATAAAACCTAAGTATTTCTGTTCTACATCAAACTCTTTCCACTTCTTTTTGTTTGTCTCTACTCCTAAGTTTTCACTTTCCGTGGCTATCTGTCTCATCGTAGCTTGATTGGATCCATCGGCGGGTTTCACGAATAAAGTATCATCTACCCATCGAAAACCTTGAAGTAAGTTGAACTTGAGTATCATGATCTCCTTCCACGCCTCTGCCGCCTCCCCAAATGTCCCACATCCCGCTATGCCGCCGAACTGAACCCGTGTGTCTACGTATACATAGTTGTTAAAACCTAGGATCATGAGGAACCTCCACTGGTTCATGGCTACTGGTATTTGACGATAGGCTTTTGCCCAGTCAAATACTCCTAGAACTAAACGTCCTTTATACGTTGTAAAAAAGTAAGCTACCGTCTTGAAGTCATCCCAAGAGGTCTCAAAGTCATCCTTGTCGACTCTGAAGTTCACTGATTCAATATCCGGGTCATTTTCAGGATATGAAAGGTTGCTAATTGGTCTAAAGGACCCGTTGCCGTTAACGACTGCCCCAAGCGGATTTGTTCGAAAGAAACCAAACTTTTCGAACGCCTCCTCTTTCGACCAAGGTCCAAAAATCCTTCCTCTCTCGATCTCGGCAGCGATGTTTTCCTCTATCTTGTTCTTTGCTTTTAGCGCTGACGTATGGTTATCTGGACAAAAGTAACGTAAGCCTTTTATTTCTGCATCTCTGATCCCTTGATCAAAGCCTTGATTGAACCCCTTCAAGATGTGTTCGTATTTCACTTCAAGTCCGTATTTCCTGAGCTCTTTCCTCCATGCTGACAAATTCATTTCACAGGAAGGAGCTTTCGGCCAATACCTTCCTCTTCTGCTAGGAAGTTTGGCTTCTGGCGGTACTTTATCCCATCCCGACTCAGAGTTTGACCTGTTTCAGGATGAATGAAGGTTGTTTAGGGGCAAGGTTCACGATGGATCACGGTGGCAAAGAACAAGTTTGGAAGGCAAGGAATCGACACTGTATGTCAGTGTCTCAATGGGAAGGTATGCGTCTTTCGACTTTCATTTCAAGGAAGGCGCTTTATTCCAATTTGGGTGTTGTGTAGCTCACGCTCTTTTCCCGTTCACAGGTTTTCCGTTCTTATCCCGGCGGTCAGGACTTCTGCTTTTATCCAGATGATTAGCATATCTATCGCCATAGCGATCCTCTCTCTTCCACTCGGTCCTCTTCCGCCCATCGTCAAACCGGCCTTTATAACCACCACCCTTCCCTTTTCCGTTTCCTCTGTAATTGCTCGACGAAGCGTGCCTGTTTTCTTTTGGTTGGTAGGTTGACTGATTCGTAGCTGACGATGTTTTTGATTTGTTTGTGAGCGGGCATATGCTCTCCTTAGGTCTTCCAGGAGCATAAGGATTCGTCTTGTAGTGGTGTTCGTTATAGCTTTCCGCCGTCGTCTTTGCTTCAGCTAATAGCACCTCATGAAGCTCGGCGTAATTTCCGACTGACTTGTCGACAGTTTCCCGCATCACACCTTGACGAACCAATTTACAGTACCTTAATGCCACCATCCAGCCGAAGTCTTTCCGGAGCTTCTTCACTACGTTAATGTGACTTTCGAACTTCTTAGCTACCGGTTTCCAGCCACAAGCTACCAGGTGTGTGCAGAAAAGTTCCATGCAGTCTCCCCACACCTCATAATCTATAGTTAATTCTTCAACCGGGGCTTCTCCTCCATAAATCCTAGCTTCACCCGATTCTTTTTTATCAGACTTTGTCGTCCTTGACGACCACGCTTTTTGGTCAGCCACCAGCCATTCTTCATCAAATACCGTCCATTGGATATATGAAGTAAGTCCTTTCAAAATAATCGTTAGTCCTGGTGACAATGGAGCTAAGGATTGCTTCATTTGTGCATCTCCACCCTTCAAGATTCTTCCATTATGAATTACGTCTCCATTCTCTAACTCTAAGGTTCCTTTTTTGGACGCCATTATAGCATAAGCCTTGTCCAATTCTTCCTTCGACAACGCGCCTTCGAACCAAGTCACCTTTCCGTTGTTGTTTGCCGCTAACGTTGTGGTTATCGGCTGGTGGTGAGTAGCCGGTGGTTGGTTATCAGCGGCAGTGAGGATAGGTTGTGATACTGGTTCTGTTGGAACGGGTGGAGCAACGATTCTCTGTGGTACTGTTGGGACTACTTCTCTTACGAAGGCCACCGACGTTCCGTCCGACTTGTCCAATTCCGTATCGTTGTCATCCATGACGTACGGGTTCTTGTTAGACTTCCTGGACTGGTCTCTGTGCAGGATTTGTTTCAATGATTCGGCCTCCAGGTCATCGCCTCTCTTGTAAGCGTCTTGTATTAACCCTGCTAGAGTGTTCCGTTGGGATTGTTCTAAATCTTTTCCAACGAAGGGGGCCATGGTGTTGTCAGTTACGAGATTCCTCTTGACACTCCTTCGGTTTCCACGCGTGTAAGCCATTGTAAAGGATAGGTCATCTGGACAAATTTGACTGGAGCCTTAAAGATATTTCGGCTTCGACCTCATTTTAAGCCGGCTGCTGGCTGGGTCTCATTTTAAGCCTGACTAGGGCACCAATTTTAAGCCGGGCCAGGCTGGGTGCCTACTGTAAGCCGGACCATGGCTGGGTTCCTATTCTTTAAGCCGGACCAGGCTGGGTTCCTATTGTAAGCCGGACCGGGCTGGGCACCTATTTGGAGCCGGGCCAGGCTTTCTTGATGTACGTATATCGCGTGTTTCGTATTTCATCTAAAACATAAGCAGGAAAATAACCGAAACGTAACTTTCTCTCTTTTGCAGCGCAGGTCGTAGGTACCATATACGCTGGTTGACCTGTGCTGTCTTGACATCCTGGCAACGTCTAAGTTGCATGTATGTGTTTTGAGTTTTTTGAACGATGATAAGGAATGATAACCAAAATGGGTTTTGCGAATGAAAGACTCATAGAATGTTGAATTGGATACAATAGAGAAACTTGGGTGATTTACGGATTGGGAGCAAACGGAACGGCGAGAAAAGGTCGGGGACTCTTTTGGAAGTGAGTGAAGGGCTTGTTTTCAACTTACCATTTTGACTGGTGTCCTCCTCATGACCTTCCTGTTCATCTTCTTGTTCCCTCTGTTCTTCACTTCCACTACCTATCCCTCCCCATTCATCCATCTCTTCCTCCACAGCTTGAAGTTCCTGAGGTCCTTCTTCTTTTGACCCGGTCTGAATCCTTTGTTTCTTTTTCCTCAAAGCCAGTTGGGTTTTCTTCAACCCTCTCTGACGTTTGACCGTGTTTTTGGATTCCAGAAGCTTGGCCAGTTCTACCGCCTGTAGGAGTCTTGTGCGACTGGACGCTCCTTCTGTCGGCACAACCGTTTCCTCCTCTCTTCGGTGTTATGAGCCTATTACCGGGTTGGACGCCTGTTGCCGCTGCTTCGGCCCTCGTTAAGACTCTGTTCGTTTGTTCTAACTGAAGTTGAAATGACATGATTTGACTTCTTTGGCTTGTTTCAATTTCTTTCTTCTTATTTTTAGTTTTTGATTTCCTTGATGATTGTTTTAATTAAATTTTGCCGATATTTGTGTTTTTGTTTTTGGGCGATCTTTTTTAATAAGAATGTTCTTTGAAAAGAAAACTGCAGTTTTGAAAGAAAAAACTGTTGAACCTAAGAAAGTGATTCGTCACTCGAATCTTCTTATGTGAGGAGCTGTGATTCGAAAGCGGATTAGGTCGTGGGAGAGAAGGAAACCTTAAAGTATTCCTTCTCTTCGACCAACCGCGGGTTCATGACATGTGTCCAACATGTCACCTCATATTCACAGTCTCGTGGACACCCGCACCAAAACTTGCCTTATTCGGTGCACTACATCCAAACCCTTCTTTTTTTTTCTTTGGATCACTCACGACATACCATATACACACTCCCTAACACTAACACTCTAATGTAATACAAAATGCAATTAAAGACTTGCTACTTGTCTCTCATTCATATTTGCAAAATATCACAGGTAGATGTGTAGATGTGACCATCTTTTGTTTACTCCGACAACTGAATGTGCATGGGCATAATAAACACATTATTCATTGGCATAGGCATAGGGGGCATACATAGCATAGAATTGTAACAATAACAGACAAGAAGGAAAAACAACCATAAGAAAAGCGGAGACACAACACATACAAAAAGCGGTTTTAAAGTAGATCAAAGAAAGTCACGAAGAAAAGAATCAATAGAGAGAGGAATCACAAAGCTAGAGGTAGAAAAAGATTAGAGACAAGAAGGAAAGGACACAACCATAAATAAAAGCGACAAAAGGTTGTCGGTCACAAACAGGTTACCACTACACCCTCGTGGTTGAGCCAAGAATCAATTTGCTCTTGATGAGTTGCAACCCACTGGGGCATTCTGGAATTGCTGATCGTGGCCGATTGGTAGTCGCCATATGCCTTTGGAAAAGGCAGCCTGCCATCTGAACGAAGGCTGACAAAGTGATTTCCATTCACAAACGCAAGTAAGATAGCAGGGTTATTTTTAGGTGCTGTGTGATACGGAAAAAAAGAGTAGCAGTTGCCTTCTTGGCGGTCGAAGCAAATGACAGGGTGGTCGTAAGCACTAGCAATGATGTAGCCTAGATAAGGCATCCGCAACCAATAAGCCTGTTTGCATGTGGGACCTTGAGGTTCGAGTCAAACCAGCAGATCTTCCATTAGTTTGGTGACATAAGACTTGCCCCGGGTTCGCCGAGTCTGCATCCCTCTCTTCATTCCTGAAACAGTTGAAATGAGGTCCTCGTGGTCCTTGCGAAAAGAAGATAGCTCTTCACAAAGTCTCATCCGTACCGATGCATAGGATTCCCAGTCGTGCAGGTTGAGTGACGCAGCAATGGCATAGTAGCCACAATTACCCAAAGCGGGTGGATTGGATAACGACGTGATGTAGGGAATGATGAAAGCAGGGAGTTGTTTCAAAATGTTGTGGTCTTCGGGGGTTAGGAGGGCCAAGGTTCAAAATAAATTTGCTGAGGACGCAGTCGGAGCCAAAGAAGTAGAAGCAGTTGGTTTCACTGGAGCCGGTGCCTGGAGTTCTTTGGGTTCGATGAATTCAAATGGTTCGTCTGGCATGGGGAAGACTGCAGAACCAAAAGCGCGGCTGCATTCCAGAGTTTCTTGTACCACTGGATCTCCTCGGTCCTTCTCTAAATCTTCAGCAATCAACAATAAAGCCACTTCAGGAAGTAGCACTTGTCGAATAAAGCAATCAGCAGTAAGAGGTGATGCTTTTCGTTTGTTGAGATGATTGGCAGAGGTATCTTTGATGAAGATTGACTCGAGTGTTTGGACTATTATTTCGAAGTCTTGATAACCATAACTAAAAGACACAATTGTCAACATCATCAAACTCATACTAAACGTTGTGAAAGTTAAGAGAATGATACTGACTATCCAGGGAGCTCTACCTCGATATTCTCCAATTGCCCAGGCATACGGCGACCCATTGAAAGCCTAGTCTTCTTTGCTTCTTCAAAGAAAGGGGATATTGCTCCATTGTTGACAATTTTGTTGAGAGTCGAAATATAGGTTTTGATGCGACTAAATGAAAGATATTCATGTCAGATAACAAATCAAGATTGAACAATGTGAACAGTGAACTTACAGAGGTAATCCAATAAAATCGATTGAGGTAGGCCAACCTTTTCTGACACCAAATGGTATGATCTCGCACTCGTTATGATGTAGTTGACAAAAATCTGCGGTTTGCGTAGACTGTAGATTCAAAATTAAACATAAATATCTGAATATTATGAAGAAAGATATGGTTTTTCAACTTACAGGAAGCGACATGGCTCCTGTACGCCCAATACCTTTGCGAATGTTTGGCATTGCAAGGAGGATAGCCTTTCAATGCAGTGAGCTTGGAAGATGGGTCAGCTGGGAGGGGTTCATCACAAAACGGACACAAATTTTCTTCATTTTGCGAAGAATCAGAAGATGAATCTAGTACTGCGACTTCTTCCTCATCTGAAGAATCGATATCAACGTCATCGACATTGTTCTCGGAGTTGGAACTTGGATGATCTTGAGCTTTATCTTGAGCTTCTTGGGCAAGACGACGCTTACAAGTAGTGACACGATGCCCACCTTCAGAACAATAGCTGCATTTGTTGACACGCCTTTTTTTGGAACTTTCAGCAACTTCAAAATCAGACTTCCATCTTCCCTCTTTGGAGGCAGCAGTTCGTTTCAAAGTGTTGTTTCGTGGGTGTCCTCGGTTATTGGTCTTCACCTCTGCATTCAAAATTGGTACAAGAGAGAAACGGTTGGTTTCCAGAAGTGATATCTCGGCAAAAAGTTTGCAAAGGACATGTTCTGGCAAGTCCAAAATATAATTGAATTTCACACGTGCGGCTGCCTGAAGCCCTTGATAGTTGTCCGGTGGAAGATCCATCGTAAGATGCCATTGGTTATGAACAGCTTCTGGTTGAAGAAAGTCAAAGTTGTCTCGGGCGGTGGCCAGTTCGTGCGAGCACGGTAAGCCCCAAGCACCTCGAAAAGTTCCAGTGCAAGGTTTCTTGAGCGAATTGGGAAGCAAGCTGTATTGAACCTTTTGATTAAAGAGGACAAAGATACCAAATGTCATTCAACAATTTGAAGAATATTATAGGAAGAAAGCTTCTTACCTTGAGTTTTTTGAGCGCAAAATGAGACACAATGCCATTCAACTTTTTGAAGAATATAGGAAGATCATGAAGCGTCTTTGTCTTCTCAATGCCCACAGAAACATTGATTTCGCTGATCTGATGCTCCTCGAAACGTTTAAAAGACTTGAAACAGGTTACAAAATCATTGTTTCAACCGTCGAGAAACCGCTTAGCTCAGAAGTGACTACCTTCTACTCGTCATGTTGAAGAATTCCCAAAGTGAGGGGTTTGACCGGTGAATAAGGTGACAAATTTCTCCGTTCGATGGAGCCACGTCCGTTCCAGGTATTCGAAGACATTGTGAGATTTCGCCATTTTGGTAACTGCCTCAAGATTAGCATTGTAATCAGTCTGGGTTGATGAGGCCACGAAGTTGTTCCAAAGCTTCATGAAGGTGGTCCAGTCGGGTTCCAAAAATTTGTTCTTGCAATTTTTTGCAATATTGACGTTGATATGCCAGATACACAAAATGTGTACTGACTCAGGGAATACAGTTGCAATTGCATTGAACAGGGCTGGCTTGGCGTCAGTTGCAAACGTCTTAGGTGAGTTGACTGTAACAGACTGGTCTTCACTAGTAAAAATGACGTCTTTGAGCTGTGTGAGGGCCCATTCGTATTGGGATTCGATTTCACTGCTCATGAAGCACATGGCAACGGTGAAAGAACGGTGAGTGTTGGTAGTTCCAACGATATGTAATAGAGGAAGATTGAACCTGTTTGTTTTGTATGTGCAGTTGAGTGAGAGAACAGTTGGAAATCGGCGAGTGAGAGATATTGCTGAGGGACTAGCAAAAAAAAGGTTGAGAAGTGTGCCGTTTTCAGCAGTTAATGATTGGTGAGCCCAGTTACTAGCGGTGATTAAATCAAACAGCCCTTGAACAGGTGTTCGTCCGTCTAGCCAGTTAATCCTAAGACGAGACCGTACATTGTGAATATCGCGGACTAAGGGTTGAGACCCGGGTTCCACATCGATGAGAGTTTGAATTTGTGCCGCTCAAACTCCAGCCGAAGACAAGATGTCAATTTGATCGCGAATTTCAGGTTGGAATCGACGATAAATTGCCAAATTGTGGGGTTTAGCAAAAGGAGGGTGATCATGACTCAGTTTCACCGGATGCTTGAGATCGTAAGTAACAATCCATCGATCCAGTGAGGCACAATAGTTGAGGGAGACTTCAAACATACATCCCGTCTTTTTGGAGGATGTGGATCAACCTCGGCTGTTGATATGTGTCTATCACCTAATGAACATCGAAGATAGATCCTGATGGTGGTCTGGTGTTCGGTCTTGTGGCTCTTGATGGCCAGTGCGTAGCCTTGATGGCGGGCAACCGCATTCATGTACAAGTAGACACAGAAAGTTCACGTCACCCCCGGGGCCCCACCCTGTGTGTATTACATATGGTGTAGTGATGTTCCTGGCCCCGGGGGTGACGTGAACTTTCTGCGTCTACTTG